GGGAAAGAGAGGTTGTGCATGAGATTAAGAAGTCAAATATGTCAAATATTTTAGCCAGGGAATTTTTCTTATGTTGTTTTGTTTCAGTAAAGATATGTCACAACTGGTAATTAGTTTATACTGGATGTCCTGTCACCCAGGATTAAATTGTTTCCCACTGCCATCATGGAGCCAGTCCCAGCTGACGTCGGGTGAGAGGCGGGGTCCACTCTGGATAGGTCGCTAGTCTATCACAGGGCTGACATGTAGACAAACAACCACACACTCACACTCACTCCTGTGGATAATTTAGAGTCACCAATCAACCTAAACTGCATGTCTTTGGACTGTGGGAAGAAGCTGGAGTACCCAGAGAGAACCCACGCAGGCACAGGGAGAACATGCAGACTACAGACAGACATACAGATTACACTTTAAAATTGAGTTATACTAGTTGAACAATGAGTGTATTTCCCTAAACTAGCAACACATGACTTAGGAAACCTCAGAGGAAATTATGAGAAATGTCAAACCTGTGAAATACATACATTTTCCTCTATGCAGGAAAAAACAACAGGCTATACCAAGTGTTACTGTGTGATTTGCATGTTTTCTGGTGGTAACAGAATATTGTCTTACATTTTGAAGCCACTATTTTAAGGTTTATGATGGTTTACTGCTGACACAGACAACAACAAAGGTCTGACAGGCTCTAATTGTAGACCTGCACTGCCCTCTGCAGGTACAACAACAAGCACTACTAGTAGACACTAGGAATAAAAACCAATCAAGTTCATACAGGTAACTGAAAACATCTGCTTGCTGCCCTAACATTCAGCATTTGACTGAAATATTAAATACTTGACTGAAAACTCATTAAGTTTTCAGTCAGTTACAGTAAATTGAATTAAAGTTAAACAGTGAAATACTGTGCATGAAAAAATGCTTTGTCAAAGCAAGAATTGTTGGAGTCTGTACAGTGAGCCTGGTGCCAAGTTTGTATCATTATGATCATTTTCTAAAAATTGCACCTATTATGATCATTAAAGTTGCAAAAATGCTTGCTAAGAGCTTCTTTAGAGCTTTGACCTGCTGATGATCCTGTAGCTGCATTACTGGAAAGTGGGGAAATAATACCTGTGCAGGATTTTTATCTCCTCATAACATTTTCCTGCTCCTTACCAATTAAGTCATGGTTCACATGCTCACAATTACAAGTTAGGAAGAACATAATAACTAGAAATGATAGGTTCAACCTGACAAAGACATCTGTATCCACCAAGATGATGAGGGTGAGTTGATTTGGCTACAGAAACATTCGCTGTAAAGCAGAACATGCAGCATCTGTGAGGAATTCATAAAACAATACTTTAAGCAAATCCTTGACTTAAGTAATGACTTTCAGTTTGTCAACTTTATATTTCTTCCCACAACTAATATATATATTTATATATATCATGTAAAACACTAGTGCAGCTTATATGTGTTGATCATTAGTCTTTAATAACTGTTAAGTTGGATTGTGTCAGACTTTGGATTGTTGTTGTTGCCATGGAGACAAGCTACAACTAGCCTCGAGCGACCAAGCCCACCCAGGTATGCATTGTGTGTACATTTGTCTGTTACATGTGTTTGCGCGTGTGTGTGTAGAAATCCGTATTTGTTCATCCATGTGTGTGGTCTGGCACTGAACCAGTGATCAGGGTGAGTTAACAGAGTCATTTTCCACTTTATGTTTTCTAAATGTTTCATTACTCTCTTGTTTTTTCCTCTCTCCTCCCTCACTCACTCATTCCACCCTTTCATACTCAGACACTGAGTCAGCAAGCTGTCAGTATGTCTGGCACTGTTCATCATTCAAATGCATGCAAAAGGACTGTGCACCACCAAATTTCAAAACTGAATTTGAAGCTGTTAGCACTTCCAAACTCACTAACTACACAACCACTACATCTAAAACTCATTAAAGCTAATTTTTGATTCTGTTAAAGCAAAACTCCTGTATAGGAGAGTAGGCCTATACTTAGCAGCTGAGACCAGGCTGATTTTCTTTTACAAGTAAAAATCTGTGGTGACAGTATGTTTGATATGCCTGTAATGAAAATATACAGAATGTGCCTTTAATTCTAACAGTTACTCAGCTTTTTATTACTCACATGTAATGATGCCGAACAAGTGGTTTATCACACAAACATAAATGCCTGTGAGGAAAAGTGTCAAAAATCTTTAAGACAGATGCAAACACACTTTGTGAAAAACTAAACTATACTACGAGGACAATTCACGCATTACAACAATCGTCTCTGTTGCCCAAAGTTGCCTAAAGTCTGCTGAAATGATGAAATATTCCCATTCAAACTTGAATGTGTTTATAAACTGTAACTCAATATCAAAAATTTGTACAACACTTTTTAAACAGTTCACAAAAACTAAAATCAGTGAAAGATAAACACCTGGAAGAGGTTTCGATGTAAATTCTGAGGAGATGTGTCCAAAAAGCAGCAAAAGTTAGAATCTTGTTGAAAATATAAACTCCCCTGACTCTCGCTATGTCTCTCTTCGTCTCTGCAGTCGGGCGGTGGTCTTCTGCGCTGCGCTGGCACTGCTCCAGGAGAAGGGGATTACTGTTAAATGAGTATAATCTCTGCTGTTTCCTCCATCAGTCCTGGCCTTCTGATGGGAGCTGGTGCTTAGAACGGGTTCCACAGGACGAGATGCTCTTTAACTGTAATCTCTCTAATCTCTCTTCTTACTGCAGGCTGGAGACCCATAAACCTGCCGTCCTCACACTCATATTTCTCCCACAGCCTTTTGAAAAACATGACAGCCTGTGTTTTCATTTTGGAAAATATAGATGCTGTTAAAAGGTGTGTGTGATTTAGTAACACATAAAAAGTAATTGAGATTCTTTTAACCTGCGTAATATATATTTTAGGGTATAATGATGATATATCTCCAGGTAACGCTTGGTAAAATAGTTACTTTATAAAAAGGTCACTGTGCTTTTTAGACGCTGTGGTTTTGGTGTTTCCCCCCCACAGCATTCTCTTTTATTCAGCTTTTTAAAAATGCCATATGTACTGTATGTTAAAAAAATGAATTACACAAAAGTATACTGGGCTTTAATACCCACACCATTTATCAGTAGGAAAATTAATTACAAAAAGTAGAACAGAGCCAGCTTAGTGTTAAAAATGTCAAATAATTCTCTTGCAGTCCACAGTGTGTAACCGAAAAGAAAATCTATATATGAAGTATTAACTGGTGTTTGGCCAGAATACAAAATTACAAATATTGACAACCAATCAAAAAGTAATGTAGTCAAATGCATCAAGTTTTAAGGGGATGTTGTAAAGTTACATTTTGAATACAAAATGATTCATCTTTGTGTGC